AGTCTCTAAGCCCTTGCCAGGGGCTTTAAAGCTTTGTAGATTCTCAGCAGGAGACCTCAGCATCTAGAGAAAGTTAGTGTTTTTGCTTTTTTAATTTTCAAGGTTGTTCAACAAATTATTTGCTGAGATAAGAATGGGGTTTGGAGTATCCATTGATTTGTGGCAATTTTATTGGAACATAGGAAAAGGATTAGAACTGAGGGATGAGAACTGGTAAATTGTATATGCCGAGAGTGTCATATACTTAGTCTAGAGTTAGCGTGGCTGCCTTCCTCTGCCTGGCTCCCTTCCTCTAACTTCTGGACTATAGTTTAAAATGAAGCTGTTCGGCTTTGCTCAGAGCTGTACCTGAAAGGTAGACAGGTAAGGTTCTTTGCTCCTGTGAAATCACGTCATTCAGGGTGGTTTGGGCAGTGCCTTTCAGGACTGCTAGGATCCGGGGGTCTCTGAGGCTGCACTCTGGTTCATTAGGACCCCTAAAGAGATGGGGAAGAGGGTATACTTGGGGCCTTAAACTAGGAAAGGAGCTTTCTGAAATGGTGTCAGAGGTCTTTGAACCTTTAGTGAAGGAGTCAGGAGTTAACTGAGCATCTCATGGTGTTCTCTTTCTAGCTTTCTTATGGATTCTTTGGGAGTCCTTGAGTAAGGAGGACCTAACCCTCCCAGGTGTGTTTTCTCTTTCTGGTCAATACATCCTGACCTTCTCTTCTTTGCAGTACCTTTTCTCCCGACTTCACTGCTTCCGTATCTTCCTTGTTTTTCTTTCCTTCTCCATAGTACTCAGGACCCAACTGCTGAAGTGGTTCTATCTGAGACCTGCACATATAGATATGGTGTCTATAGAGTCACTCTAATAATTTGCATGGTGAAAAAGTAAGTAGCCACTCTTTGCCATTTGCAGTTTGGCTCTTCATGCCTCTAATATTCCTTATTTTGTCTATTACTGAGTATCCCAAGTCTGAAAATCCAAAGTCCAAAATGCTCCAAAATCTGCAACTTTTTGAGCACTGATACAACACTTAAAGGAAATGCTCATTGGAGCATTTCAGATTTTAGATTTTTGGATTTTGGATATTCAACTTGTAAGTATAATACAAGTATTCCAAAATCTGAAAAAATTCAGAATCTGAAACACTTCTGGTCTCAAGCATTTTGGATAAGGGATATTCAACCTATAGCATAAACCATAGTGATAGCTAGAATCTAGACAGAGATGGGAGGGGCTTTTTTTTTTTTTTTTTGAGACAGAGTCTCACTGTGTTGCCTGGGCTAGAGTGCCGTGGCGTCATCCTAGCTCACAGCAACCTCAAACTCCTGGCCTCAAGCAATCCTTCTGCCTCAGCCTCCCGAGTAGCTGGGTCTACAGGCATGCGCCACCATGCCCAGCTAATTTTTTCTGTGTATTTTTAGTTGTCCGATTAATTTCTTTCTATTTTTAGTAGAGACGGGGTCTCGCTCTTGCTGGTCTCGAACTCCTGAGCTCAAACAATCCGCCCGCCTCAGCCTCCCAGAGTGCTAGGATTACAGGCGTGAGCCACCGCGCCTGGCCGAGAGGGGCTTTTGAGCTTACTTGGTTCTAACCCTCCAGCTCCCTGGCACCTGGAAACCCTAGAAGACCATAGATTGTTTACACACTACCACCTGCCCCCAGCTTGTGTTTCCTGACTCCCATTCTTGTCTCTCTAGCATACCAATAATGTGAGCTTGGGAGTCAGATGGTCTTTTGATGTTGAGTCCCACCCAATCCCTGGCTGCGTACCCTTTGGCAGATGTTTTAATCTTGTGAAGTCTCTTTCTCATCAATAATATGGGAATAATAAACTTACCTTACAGAAAGGTTGTAAGTACTGAAACTAATGCAGCTAAAACAGCTCTTAAAAGGCTCTGAGCCTTGGCACGGAGGAGGCCCTAAGACAATTGTGGGTCTTGTTATTTCCATCTTGGAATTTAGCTCATACTTTTAGAAATCAAAAAGAGTCATATCAATTCAAAACACTGGATCTACACCAAACATTGATGTTCTAGGAAATAGTTCTTTTGTTCATTTCTGGACCATATACAGTAATTTCATTAAGTACTCTTAGGTAGAACTAATTGAAGTAATTTTAACTTTTTAGTGTGCTAGTATCATTTATAGAGAGATATTTATTAAGTCAATCCGTATACTCTTCTGTATTAACAATTTTAATTCAATAAAAAGGGGGAAAAAGTTAATTTATCAAAGACATGACAGAAAGTCTTCCCACAAAGAAGCTATGTAGTTAATTTCCCTATTTTTTTTTTTTTTTTTTGAGATAGAGTCTTGCTCTGTTGCCCAGGGTAGAGTGCACAGCAACCTTAAACTCCTGGGCTCAAGTGATCCTCCTGCTTCAGCCTCCCGAGTAGCTGAGATTACAGGCCTCACCCCACTGGGCTAATTTTTCTGTCTTTTGTAGAGATGGGTTTTGCTCTTGATCAGGCTGGTCTCGAACTCCTTATCTGAAGTGATCCTCCTGCCTCAGCCTCCCTGAGTGCTAGGATTACAGATGTGTGCTACTGCGCCTGGCCTAATTTCCTTTTATGTAAGTGTATTTTAGGTGATGGAACTCGTTTATGCACTATTTGTTCTACTGAATATTTGAATGTACTTTTCTATGTGTTGATGCCTGCCACACACTTACCCTGTAAACCAGCCGCCTCCTATTGAACGGACATTTGGGTGGTTTTCAGTTTTTTGCTTTAGTATAACATAGCTATTTTGCAAAAAAATAGGGTTTTTAAAAGCCATTTCTTAGAATCTAGTTCCCAAGATGAAACACAGACTACAGATTTAAACAGTTTATGGCTTTAGTTACACACTGTGTTGAACTAAATTTAGATTCCAAGTTCAAATGCAGGTCTTTTTAAAAGCTCTGTTCTCAGTATTGGGCAGGGGGTTAAGTAGGGAAGTAAAAAAAAAAAAAGCTCTGTTCTGTGAACTAGAGAGTTTTGTTACCTGCTCTCTCTTTTGTTCCCACCTTGCCTGTGCTGTGATATTAATTGAAATTCCTAGTGGATTTTGAGGCATATAAATCTTCAATTACTGTCACCTAAATATTAAAGAAAAAATATTTCACAGCTATTTTCATAATGTTTTTCTAATTTTTAAAAAGTTGGCCAGCTGTGTTCATAGAAATAAACTAATAGTCCATAGCAGAGATTGGCAAACTTTTTATGTAATGGGCCAGATAGTAAATATTTTATGCTTTACAGGCCACACAGACTGCCACAGTTACTCAGTTCTGCTCTTGGTTTGGGAAAACAGACATAGATAATATGTAACAAATGGCCTAGCTGTGTTCTGGTAAAACTTTACTTAACAGAAAGAGGTGAAGGGCTATATTTGGGCCCTGGGACATAGTTTGCTGACCCTGGTCTACAGCATCCGAACCTGTAGTTTGAAACTTGGTGGGCAGTATGGTCCACAGGCCACAGTTAAGAACCACGTATACAAAAATTCAGTGTGAAAGAATTCTGCTCTGGTTTACAAAGAAATTAGAACATATATTCCTGCCACCCAGAGAAGGCTGTGTAGCTGGGTTATCGGAAAAGAGCCACTGGCCTGCCCTGCAGTCCTCTAGTTCTTATGCTATGGGCTCTGGAAGAGGAGGTTGACAGTTGAGTAGGGCAGGCATTTTAGAGAGTCATTTTGGCACCTTGGAACCCTTCTGGAATTTTCTACAGCAACAGCCCTGTCTGGTCTGTTGATTGGCAGCTCAGGTCCCCTTGGATCTTGTTTGTCAGGCTTTGGCATATAAGTAGAAAGAAAGAGAATAAGTATTAAAGAAAGCCAGAGTATAGCAGTGTCAATTTCATAGCCTCTTATGGTTACTGCCATAGGAGAAAAATGGGGATTGTACTGCTCACAGGCAGAATAAGGAAGTAATCAACACTTGACTCCCTGGAAGCATTTGCAAACCCGCTGCCTCCAGATGAAAGCTGTGCTGCTCCTCTGGCATGTCAGCAGGGCAGTCATGTGAATTGGTGTTCCCTGAACCCTGAGCCCAACTTTGAGATGTTCTTTGCTTCCCACCCATGCACTGACAGTGAGCAGACCCTTAGCCTTCTGCTCTCCCCCACCAAAAGGAGTTTTTGAGTATACTTCCCAATTGTACAACTTCTCTGCAACTACTCTGCAATAGTGATTCAAGCTCTGTTGTAAGCCTCCTGGAGAGGAGAATAGGCATCTTTTAAAAGGTACAGGAACAGCATTAGAATGACAGAATTGCATAATTACAAGGTTTGTACTTTAAGAACAGGGAAGATTATTGTGGGTATAATTAATTAAATCTTATACCAAATTGCACTTTTTTTTTTTGAGAGGGGATCTCACTATGTTGCCCAGGCTGGCCTCAAGCTATCTTTCCCCCCTCAGCCTCCTGAGTAGCTGAGACTATAGGTGCGTGCCACCACAGTTGGCCTAAATCCCACTTCTTTTTGTGCTGTTAGCATGGCAGCTTTTATGGACTTTCTTATTCTCCAAGTGGAACCTTGGAGATATCAACCTTATGTGTTGATATCAAAGAGATGGAATGAGTTGCTAATTTTTGTTCCCAGCTTTCTTTCTGGAGATCTGCCTTCCTCCTTCCTGTTGAATGTTAGCACAGGAACCCTCTTTTAATGAAGGAAGTCTGGATTGAGCAGCAATCTGGGAACTGCCCAATGATACCCCGGTTTTGGGGTTTTCATGTGCCTTTGTGCAAGGCATAAGAAGTTTATCCTTGGTATATGCTGTCTTGTGGTTTGGGCATTCACTAGCATTGGACTTCAGTGGACAGTAGTGTAGTTTTAATCTATTCTTATAATGTGTAAATTTTGATATTATGATAGGTAGAAGCCACTCATTCTTCATCTACCCTTTTTTCAGTATCTGGCACCAATTCTGGCCCAGTCATTTGTGATCCATGGCTCTTGTGATTTGCCGAAGATTTCCAGGCAGTTTCTGTGGAACGCCTCCCCGTCCAGCGCTAATCAAGCACCATATAAACAAGAAATTGCCTGGTCAAACCTGTGAGAACTGTTTTCTGACTGCCAAAAAGATCGGTACTGACACCAGAATGGCAGCCACCCTCAAGTTGTTAAAACCTTTAGGATATCGAACACTTTACAATCCTTTTGTCTTCAGTGCAGCCCAAAGTGTGACGTATCGGAATGTGAGAAGCAGCACAGAGCATGGGGGACAGGACCCTCCGGAATGCGGTAGTCCCTGCCATTCTGCCAAAAAAGTTAAGAATATCTGTAGCACGTCCTTTTCTCGGAGAACTGTCACTACCAGCAGTGCCCTCCTGGGTTTGGAATTCAACAAGGCCTCTACCTCTAAAGCCAGCACATTGCAGCAGGGCTCACCCAGAGCCGTGAGAGTTGATGAAGAGGACGTAGAAGTTTTTGATACCCTTGAAGACCCCCGAGTTTTCCTACAGCTAAGACCAGAGTACCAGCTTCACAGCTATCACAGAACTGAGACTTGTCAGCCCCTTTCTGTTTCAGAAGGTGAACTAATTTTGCACAAAGTCACAGTTTATGAACATAATCTCCAGCCTCAAACCATTGCTGATTATTTCTGTAAGCTGAGCTCTCTGCCTGCAGAACAGCATCCTGTTTTGCTCTCCAGTACCAGCTTTGCTTTGCTCTGCCAGCTGAGTGTGAAAAACATACAGTTCTTTGACACCCCAGATCTGATCAATATTTTGAAAGCCTTTGTCGGTTTAGGAATCCCTCACTCCCATTCAATGTTAGCTGTGTATGAAACCAAATTTTGCCATAAGGTATGGGAGATGAGTCTGGATCAACTTCTGTTGGTAGCTGATCTCTGGCGGTACTTAGGCCGTAGAGTATCTCGGTTTTTAAAAATCTTTTTTAGCTATCTTAATTTGCACTGGAAAGATCTTTCCTTGTCCCAGCTGGTTCACTTAATTTATATTATAGGTGAAAATCGTCAGGTACCCGAGGACCTAATGCAAAAACTGGAATCATTGATCCTTAAGTATATAGATTCGATCAATTTAGAGGAGGTTGGTACGATCTGTTTGGGGTTCTTTAAATCAAGTAGCAGTCTCTCTGAATTTGTCATGAGAAAAATTGGAGACTTAGCTTGTGCTGACATGCAGCATCTGAGTAGTCACGCCTTAGTGAATATTCTTAAAATGTTCCGTTTCACTCATGTGGATCACATAAATTTCATGAAACAATTTGGAGAAATTGCTCCTCAGCGCATTCCTTCCCTGGGAGTTCAGGGCGTTATGCACCTGACTCTTGCCTGCTCAGCCTTACGCATTCTGGATGAAGGAGTAATGAACGCTGTGGCTGCTTCGTTGCCTCCTAGAGTAGCACACTGTCGAAGTAAAGATGTTGCCAAGATTCTGTGGTCATTTGGAACTCTGAATTATAAGCCACCTAATGCAGAAGAATTTTATTCCAGCCTGATAAATGAGATGCACAGAAAGATGCCTGAATTCAGCCAATACCCAGAACACCTACTCACCTGCCTGCTGGGCCTGGCATTTTCCGAGTACTTTCCAATGGAGTTAATCGATTTTGCTCTGAGTCCAGGGTTTGTCAGGTTAGCTCAGGAGAGAAGCAAGTTTGAACTCACTAAGGAACTATGTACTCTTGATGGTACAGTTGGCATTGAGTGTCCAGATTACAGAGGTAATCGTCTTTGTTCTCACCTGCAGCAAGAGGGGTCTGAAATTCTGTGGAATTTAGCAAGGAAGGATATGAACTCAAAGCCTGAATTCCTAGAAATTCTTTTTTTACTTGAAACCATGTTGGGTGGGCCCCAGTACATCAAGTACCATATGATTTTGCCTCATACCCGATCTTCTGACTTAGAGGTCCAGCTTGATGTTAACATGAAGCCATTACCATTTAATAGAGAAGCCACACCAGGTGAAAACATAGCCAAATTAAACCTTAAGCATGAGGGAGTCAGCCTCACAGATGATTTGATGAATCAATTACTAAAAGGGAAAGCAAGAGTACATTCCCAGGGGGAAATTGAGTCAGAGACTGGGCAGCAACCCATGGAATTAGAGAATAAGACAGCAAGACCCATGGGGGGCTCTCTTTGCAATGTGGCAGATTGGTCAGGGCCCATGGAGATGGCTGGCCTGTGCCCCCCAGGCAGCGTCCAGGCCCCAGCAGTGAAGCTGGCCATTCAAATGACAAATAAGAACCAATATTGCTATGGTTCCAGGAATCTGCTTGGACTGCATAATATGAAGAGACGGCAGCTGGTTCGGCTTGGCTATCGTGTGGTAGAGTTAGCCCACTGGGAATGGCTCCCACTGCTGAAACGAACTCGCTTAGAAAAGCTGGCATTCCTCCATGAGAAAGTATTCACCTCTGCTCTCTGAAGGGCCTTCAGGGTCCTTTCTACTCAAAAGCTGTCGGAGTAGACTGTTACTAGGTGTTGCAAAACAATGATAAAAGACAAAATGTAAGTTTGATAATAAAATCATCTGTGTAGGAGACTTAGTTGTGCTCTTGGCTGTGGCATAGTGGAGCTAGTGTATATTACTGTGAATTAATTGTAATCTTGTTGGGTTGTACAAGTTATTGCAAATTTGTGCATATTACTTCTAGTAAATAATAAACATCTTAGAATGTCCTATAGTCAAGTAAGTCCTATTGCATTTTTCTTTCTCTGTTTACCAGCCTTTCGTCAGTTGTTTTGAGTCTTTAGAATAAAAGTGTAGTCAGACATTGTATAAAGCCAATTTTTTAAAAGTGGTTTTCATATACCTTGTTTTAAAATAAGAATCTCCTATGGCTTCACTTATATTTTAGGATTTTCCCTTCATGTGTCTTCACACCCTCTAAAATTCAAGTCCTCATTCTTGTTTAGATTCGGCTGATTGTCCTTTGTTGCTGGTTTTTCCAGATTTAAAGAACCATTTGAGAAGTAGTGAACTTACTATTTTTCTCTTAGCCTCCTCTTCCACATTTCTACTCCTCTTGCATAAACTCCCTCCAATCCCTACTCCATATTTTTTTCTTAAAATTGGACATAGAAGAATCAAGTTATCTAAGTGCCTGTTGGGCCAGTGGTTTACAAGTTTGACAATTAGGCAGAATACTTTTCATGGCAAGTAGCTCAAACAAGAAGGAAGCGTGTTACCTGTCATACTAGGAAGTCCAGTGGGCTTCAGGTTTGGTCAATTCAGGTTTGTGTTATATTATGGCCACAAATATAAGGAAATTGTATATATGTAAGTAACATAATACAAGTAACTTGTAAACACTTGAGATCTGTGACAAT